GCGCTTTAACACTGTGGTTAATGGGTAATGACGGGCTTTCAGCAGACACAGTGGGACTCTGCTACATGGCTCTATTCCCTGGGCTGTACACATTATACACAGTATGCAACTCTTTCGTGTCTGCCAGGGTTTTCGTATGCAAGAATCTGTGGAAAATGGACACAGTCAGAAGACACAAAAGCTTTTTGATCAGTCTGAGCTGCAACAGTGCAAACTGTGTAACTACAGTCATGTAGTCCTTTAGTTCCAGCAGTTAAAAGTGAGCTTTCTAATCAGAGTTCATGCATCCTCCATGACACAGTATGTTGTCATGATATAGCTACTACTTTCACAAGGTGGAGTTTTGTGGTGTCTGAAGTGTGCCACAGTGATACAGTGTTTAGTTCTAACCATTAATAATCTGATCATTTAAAAAAGCTTTTATAAATGTATAAATAAACTTAAATTAAAAGTTATTATATATAAAAAATACATTTACCAATGAATACCAATTATATTCCCTTTTAAATCTATAATTATGGATCATTGATCATACTAAAATACTGTAAATATCTATAATTATTCTGGTGGCACACAAATGATGCCAAGTGTGGCGTTTCCTGCACAAGTTTATTATTTGCTGTATCAGGACAGTGTATTATTTCTCTTATTCCATGGTCACTTACCATTTTCAAAGAAAGAGGGTGTGGGTCTTTCCACCAGTGAAATTTAACTAATCTAAGAGGAAGAAGAAGAAGAACTGCTGTTGTTGTGGTTACCAGCAGTTTAATATACCTTGAGCACTGATTTAGATTGACAAATACATTTTGGGCCTGGGCTATTTTTGAGGTTCCTTGTTATCTATTTCTTATGGACATCTCATCTGTCATTTCGTAGCCACAGGTAAAAATTTTTCTGGTAATTGCAGAGTGACTTACCATTCAGTCCATCATGAGATTTTTTGCTGATTGCATTTTATCAGTCACTATGATTAATTCCCAGAATGTATAAAATAATAACAATATATAGTATGTTTTTACTATGATGAATAAAAAGGCTAATAAGAGGCTAAATCATAAAATAATTTGTTCATTAATGTCAAGCTCGGAAGAAGAGAACATATATTGTCATACAGTGGAAAAGGAAGTCGTTTTTCGGGTGTTTTTTTTTCCATTTTAAAGATACAGCTTAAGTGCTCAAGTCAAAAGAGGTATGTTAAAGAAGAAGATAACAGCTCTGGATTATAACTTGCAGCTTTTAAGACACAGCAGATGTGTGAAACTACTCTGCAGCTGTCAGATCATCTGCCTTCTTTCTGCAGAGAACACCGAAAGGACATAATAATTAATTTCACACACAAGAATTATATTTTTACATTTGATGATTTCTTGATGTTCAGTGTGTTCTAAAAGTACATTTGCTTTGCACTGCTAGTAATATATAACCTTTTGAACGTGGTTAAATCAGAAAAAAGCATTTCTTGCTAAAGAAGATAAGAAGGGTAAGAACTGAAGCCAGGTCTGAAGGTCTGAAGGTAAACGTATACCCGTCACTTTGATGCTGGATATTGCTTCTCTTGATTCCTAGAATCAGAACATGTAAGGTATTATTTCTTGTACTATTACTAAGATGACAAACATGATATTATAAGGCGGACGTGTCAGGTAAGGCCAAAGCAATGGCGGAACATATAGAGATCCATTATGTAAAATAGAGGTGCTGCTGAATGTCATTTATCAGTGAGTGAGCATCATTACACCTCCCGTGGGTTTAATATGACTCCTGTTCTGCACAGAGAAATGCTAAACTTTGGCCTCCATCTCCGTCAGGCAGATAAGACCCGTAGCAAATTAGCTTTACGAGTGCTGTTTTTGAGGTCCCTTCTGTTTGTGCACAACTGGGTGTCTCACTCGCAGAAAGGGTCTGCTGGTTACAGCTCTTCTGGTAGCCTTGTAGTGTGTGACTGCGGGACAATGGCGGGCATTGTCATGTGCTGACGAGCACAGATCGAAAACAGCTGGGCGACACCGCAATCTAGCAAATGGGACTAAATTATAGAGCTAATCCTGTTGACATTCATGTAGCTGCCAGTCATGCTTTTTCTGCCGCTCTGTCTCTTTCTTTCTCGTTGTTTGTTCACTTTAGGTCAATGGTCTACAGCTGTAAACAGATACAGATACCATGTGTTGTATCACAGACCCAAACAATGGGACGGAGATAATAGACAAAAATTACCTCACCAAAACAGTCTTTGTTTGGTCACCAACAGTGATTTGTTCAAAATAACTGAGTTAAAATGCGTAAATATTTGTGAGAAGGCTGCAATGAGCGCAAGGTAGTCTAATGTAAATCAGTCAAATGCACAGGCTCAGATTGTTTTTAAAAGTTGGTGGATTCTGGAAATAATCCCTATAAAGATAAATCTTTTGTTTAACCAACAGCCATTATATTGCTCACCATACTCGAGAGAAACTCATCAAAACAGTCTTTATTTAGTCTTTCCAGTTTTCCAGCGCTCAAAAACTCTGCTTTGGTCAAGGATAAGTCCTTAATTCACCATCATAGATGAGAAAATCAGCAGTTTCAGTCGCTCTACTCAGCTGCACATGGAGCAGACCAGCTTTGTAGTCCAATAACAGAGACACAGAGTGGGAGTGTGATGTCATTCTCTGCTGAGGACGCCATTACTCCACTTTACTGTATCTTTACATAGAATACTTAATTACTGCTATATAAATGTTTTACATTTCATATATATATATATATATATATATATATATACCTTTCGGATTAAGTTAAAGAGTCTTTGCTGAATGAAGCCCCATTTTGAAATCATTATTTTTTCATTGGGATGTGGTGTCATGAGCCACACAGGAATGTCCTTTCATGGAGATTTCAACCAAAGATCAGGTCGATGGAGCCGGCTTCCTGGACTTATGAGACAGAGGCAAAGCTGGAAAACACTCCGAGGCTGGCTCTGACAAGTTCTCTTACCTAAAAGAAATGTTATTGCTTTCCAAAATTACCCATGTGAGAGTTTTTTCATTAGCAGGGCAACAATAAAGTCAGACACTTAATGTAGCAACATTGTGCTACTTCCACCTTTCCTTCTAAGAGAGGGATGTCATTAAAAGAAAAAAAACAGAATAGTCTTGAACAATGTGGGTCGCATCAACTGGACATTGAAATGACAGCTGACAGAGGCACACAAAGGAACATTTTTAAATTCTGACAGCAACAAGATGACTGCACAAAGGTCATTGAAAAATCAGACAGGTTCAAGTGAACAGGGAAAACACCCTCGGTTACCCGAATGAAACGGAAGCAGGGAAGAAAAAGCGTAAATCGTGAGAGTAAGAAAAATGAAAACTAATCTTCCTGACTGAACTTCAGCTGAGCTTCATTAGTATTCTAGGTGTTTATGTTACAACTGTGCTCAGATTTATTGCAAAGTGAATGTTTTTAGATGTGTTAGATTCTAAAAAAAACATTGTTTCAACAGAACTAAATGAATATATTTAAAATAAAAAGCAGGTCCTACCTACATGTTATAATATTGACACAGAAATGCTGTTGAAACAATAGTTATATGCAACCTTCAACAAATGTTTGCTCAGTTTTAACATGGACGTCTAGATCAGCATTATAGATAAACTGCCAATACAGTATTATTTGCATATTATTTTTCAGTAGAGACAGAAAATAACTGACACTGAATTGGATGAAATGAAATATGTATTCATTTCACTTAATAGTTTTCCTTGTTGTGGGTGGTAACATGAGCCTTTAAGTACATCTGCTGTGCTTCAGTAGATAATCCCACCGAGGATCTAGATGTTTATGAAGAGACCGAAAGTCTAGATGAACTGGACAACTCAATTTTGTAAAAAAAAAAATAAACTGAGATGCTGAATTTCTTCTTTTTTACATAGAGAGAGAGGGAGGACTTAAGATGCCTGTAAACCTTACTGCTCATCCAAAAACAATCTAAATTCTCCTTCTCTCCCTTTTCTCCTCATTGTTCGGCAACCTGTAATTTCAAATAATGTGTTTTTTTTCTCCCCCCTTCAAGATTTTCCGGTTCTGGATCAGTGGATAGGCTTGCAGAATGCTGCTATTGTTTACAGTCTAATTTGAGAGGGTGGAACAGTGACCTGCATCCCAAAGCAGACATTACACCATCCCTGGTGTAGAACACACTTGCACAGGAGGAGCAGGCGGTGCACACTGTGTAACTGCCATAATCACTAAGCAGACGCTGTTGTTTTCGCCCTCACCAGTTTGTGTTGATGCAGGTAACCCAGACAACCTGACAATGTACACAAATTAGAGGCAGGCAGGAGAAGGGTATGATTAATGGTTCTCAATAAGGACAGGCCCCAGAGGAAAGAGGACTGGAGCAGTAGTGCTTATAAATCCCAGGGATTCTCTGAGGCAAGGAGGAGGTGGTGGGAGGAGGAGAAGTCGATTTAGGAGCTGAGGAAGTGATGGGGGATGCTCTATAAAACGCGGAGGAGATGCAGGACCACTTTCTTTGTGTCTGTGCTATTAAACAAATTCCTCATACAGAGCAAACTTATATTCTGCAGACTACAGTGTCTTCATACAGTTAATAAAATATGTTGTACTTTGTCGGCTGCGGTGTTGTTAATTTGTCCCGTGAGACTGGTAATTCTTTGAATAATCTCTGCTGTGAGAAGTGAGAGCAACCTACCTATCTATTACAGAGAATTCCCATATCCTCCACTCACCGACTTTCCTTTGAAAAGCCTTTTTCTCACCTCCAAAATTGGAAGTTTATGTGGTCTGAACGGGGGGAACTTTACAGATTGGTGGTTGAGTATATTCTCAAATTTTCCGCCTGCACTCCACTTTCAAAGATGCCCCGAATAAACACAGACATCTGTCGCTGTTGATGCCATGCAGTGACTGACTGGACGCACGAAAACACTATAAACTGATCTGGTTTTGCAGTGAGGAAACCCCTGCTCCTGTGTTGTGGACCGTTCCTCCGTTCCTCCACATCCAGGCGAAGTGAGAGCGGCGCACAGCGCCAGACGGACCTGAGCGGTTAGTGTGGATACGCAGCGGAGCGCACGACTGAGGACTCTGTACAGCGCAACTCCAACACAAATGGATATTTACGTGGCTTTGTTATCCCTTTTCTTTTTTACCAAACCAGGTGAGTGTAAGTCTTGTGGCACTTTATGATCGCACTGAGGAATTTTGTTGCGCTTCTTAACGTCTTTTACGCTCCTCAGTTTGCACCTTGCGCGCAAGCATATCAGATTTTTTTGGTAGTGTCTCTGGCAGTTTGTAGAGTTAATATTTTGGAAACAACCAGGATGAGTTAGGGTAAAAGAGATGACACCTTTTACCTTAACGTGTGCGCACGGTGCACCTACAGCCCACGGAGAACACAGGTGTTGGCTGGGGCAAATACGGTGCATTTTAGTGGGCAGCGTTCGCAACACCCTGCGTTTAAATTAAAACTGCGTGACTTTTTCCACAACCAGCCATTTTAAGCAGTGAAGATGTCTGTTTGTGAAATGAATTAGGATTTTAGTTAAAAATAACCCCCGTCCGGTTTAATCCTCAGAGCAGGCTGTGAACCCACCGCTTCACACCATCTAACCTCCATCTCTCTTCCTCAGCTTTGGGTTTCGGATCAGATCAAGACTACCAGATTGATATCATCAATGAACTTGACCTGGCAAATGCCACTTATGGAATTACCCAAGTGGCGGGGCTTCACAACACCAGCAAAGCCTTCCTATTTCGAGGTAATGCACGCTGACAGTTTCTTCCACATTAGTCGCGCTGCTCAAGTTCAGAAATGTCTTTGTCTTCTGTTTCATGGCTGCGCGCACACGCACACCCACCCACACGCACACACACACACGCACGCAGGCACGCACGCTCTTTGTTTCATTAGTTAGTGTGAGCAAAGCCACGCAGCGCCACACCTTTTGGTGTCACAGTATTAGCTGGGACGCTGAGGCAGAACACTCCGGGGAGCCTCCTCTCATAATTACTCCACATTTAATTTGTCCCAGGCAGCAGATGCTCAGCCTCTTTCTGGACACACTTGAGTGCGCTGTGTGTGTAGGATTTCTACAACACTTAGGCTGTTTCCAATGACATCCACTGTTGTGTAATCCCAGCAACTGGCGCTTAATAGATATCAGGTGTGTTGGAATCCTGAAGGGCACAACATGTGGCTGGAAGGTTTATAGCCTGAAAGAAAAAGAAAAAACACTATACATGCATATAATTATAGATTAATGTCGAAGTCCTAACAGGGAGATAGGACGGTGATGAACTACTGATCATATTAACCCTGTAGAGAGAAGATGTGTTGCCATTGTCAGAGGATAACTTTGCTTTGCTCACTCGCTTCTCTTCACTCTGAAAAGAACTCAACAATATTTGGTTCAACTTGTTCCTTCTTCCTGTAGTGCCCTCAAGCAGAGACTGAATTGTTAGAGAGAGGAAAGAGTGGGATACAGAAAGAGAAAGACACCTAGGCAACTGTATGAGAGAGAGAGAGAGAGAGAGAGAGAGAGAGAGAGAGAGAGAGAGAGAGTTTTCTGTGAGTAGATGCTTGCTGTGTGCTTTTGGAACTTTCTTTTATTAAGTTGAGTGTTTAGTGTCTTTTTTTAATAGCCCAATATTCAAAGGCAATAGGTATGAGATCTACATTAAATTCTCACTGGAGAACTTTATTGACTCATTATGGCCCGGTGCTGTTCCAAACTGCACAAAAGTACAATGTTGGGGAGAAACAGGGAGTCCTTTTTACTTTTCTGGCATTAAAATATTCAAATTCAAAGATACTGGCACAAACACCAGCGGCTTGAATCCCAAATAAGCAGCACTGGGTGTTGAGACTCATATCGGCAGAGTGGAAGTGTTTGTGTGTGTGTCTGTGTGCGCGTCCATGCATATGGTTTTATTTTCTAGAGTGCTTGGCTCGGTGTGCCACTGGCTCTGTATGAATGAAGGCAGGGCAGCTTGGCGGACTCTGCTGAGGTGAAGCTGTCCAAGATTCAAGGCTGGAGGCCATAAAGGATGCACAACCTCACTTTTTACTTGATAGGCCTATGCACACACACACACACACACACACGCCCACACACACTCCTACTCAAAGCTGCTCTCCCTATACGGTTTCCTGGCTCGCAGGGTTGAGGTGCAGCAGCCAGATAGTGTGGGAAACAGGAGGCTAATCCAGTGGGAAAAACTGGACCTGTGAGTGCTGGAGAGGATGCTTGTGTTGTGACCTATTTAACACTTTGCCCACCCTTGTGCTGCTTTCATGGCTCTGTTACCCAGATGGCTCTCAGAGCAACTGCAGCTACCAGATTGTTTCAAAAAGTGGAGATGTGGATGTTCTAAAACGTTACAGCAATAAACCGAGCATGATTACCTGCCTAGTAGAAGCTGTGCTGGAGCCTCTGTGGCTGATTGGGTCAGTGATTATTCAAGATGATTTATGTATGGTGTATGCAATCATGTTGTGTACCGAGCTCAATACAATATTTCATCTGTTTGATTGCATAAATTGTGGAGGAAAATATTGTGATGTTGGTAAAATGGCTGGAAAATAAGGGCAATGTGGTCGTTCAATTAGTGTCGATAGCACTGAGAGAGAAAGCGGGGGCTCTGGCAGTGTCTTTGGCTGGACACTGTGACCAGTCTCTCCAGTCACCCAGTTAGGCAATGATTTACAAACAACAGATGGTTAGATTTCAGCATCTCTTCTCTTACGCTTTTACCAGAATTATGCACCAGTGCACTTCATGAAAGCCAGGAAAGACAGACGAGTACAGCTTCCTCTCTCAAAGGTCCTTATCTGGATGTGATCCAAACTTGTGATGAAAAGAACGAAAAATGCTAATAATCCCCCACTGTGTACTGATAGCGGGGAACAAAGCTAAGCTAATTGTTAAGATATTTGCATATTTGTTGTAGTTTGTACTTTTCATCAACAGGATTCCTTACATTGCGGGAACTTCTGTGATATATTGAATAAAGTTTGTCCGGAAGGGTGCTGACCTAGTTTCTCATCCTACCTCGGAACCCAGATTGTCAGCCTCATTACTCAGACCCCCCTCTGTCCCAATGTTGATTTAGATTTCAATCTAATGATGATTATCAGTTTGTATTTTGGTATCCCCCTGTGGGTGCACGTTGGGTCTGTTGGTCAGTCAGTTTGGAGTGAAATATCTCAACTTCAAACAGATGCTGGTGCTTTAATCACATGAGACTTTCCTCAGACTGCTAAAAGGGTGCTCAATTTGAAATACATGTTTAACGTTTTATAAAATACATGAACAGCTGTTGGATGGAATACCATGATATTTGGCGACGACATTCTTGGTTCCCAGAGAATGTTACTCTGACTTTGTTCAGCTCAAAGCATTTAGCCAAAGAGGCTGTGTACAAGGTAAGGTTTAGACTAGAGGTTTTTAGGGGTCCACTTGGTTCCTAATATCTGAGACCTGACAGGGGACCTCAGGGGACCTGGATCCAAGCAGATTTGGGAGTCGAGATTAGCTCTGATCATGAGGTATGTCATGTTCATCACAGGAGGAAAAATATGTTTTTGTCTCAAGAGCAGGAGTGTAAAATGTGAATTGTAGAGGCAAATGACATGTATTGCTTCTCCTTTCAACCGTGATTGCTCATTAATTGGTGCCACGTCATGCTGCTGCCAGTTTCAGTGTTCATCTCTCTATTTAAATGTGTGCGGGTTGACCTCATTTTGAATAGCATCTAATTATCCTCTGGTCTGTTTGAACACAGTCTTTCCTTGGATTCCTTTCGAATCAGGTCTGTCTTTTTTTTTTTTAAATGTGTTTATGTAAATTATATTTGAATAGGTTTTTCATTGGTTTCAGACAGACCAAAAGGTTCCAAGTCCTACAATGTAGAGCTGACCAGCTGAGTCTGAGATGTCCTAAAATGACCACTGTACAGAGGATAAACTCTTTTGATTTAGTTAAGAACATGACCTTTACCTTAATGCCACGCTCAGGACAAACTTTAAATTGTTGTGCACTGCTGTATGAAGATAAATATCAAAGAAAATCAAAGTTCTATCTTAATTCCTCAGTTTTCTCAATCCATTTTCAAACAATAAAATCACATTTGCTTTAAATTCTAGTTTTATGTGAGATTGCTTTGTAATATAACATTCCGACTATTTGAAACCATTGCTTCAAGATTTTTTACAATTAGAGACAAAATGAGACGTTAGTCTAACATAAAAGTTTATAATTTATTGGTTATTTGAATTATATAAACACTGAAAGGATGGGACATGAACGTGACATGTAGGAGCCCCAGCTATCTGTGAACCTGTTTGGTCAGTATAGATCCCTCTGTTGCTCACTGACTCTCCTACCCAAAATCATTAACGTTAAACAGTTAAATGGTAACAACAAATGAAGCCTTGATCCTGATATCCCTGAGATCTATAAACACGCCTCCTATCAGCCTTTTAGGCCAATTATTCTTAACACATGACAACTCTGCAGTTTGGTCTTAGGACTGAAATGGTCCTTAATTAACGTTTAATCGACCTTCCTGTCGATTTTAGTCTGAACATGTTTCCCAACCTCATTTAAAGCAGAAATCCACACTGGAATACCTCGCCACTGTCCAATAAAGAGCTAGAGCTGATGCACATTGAATTTCCATCATTTGTTTTAACTGGCCAAATCCAGCATGTAATGTATACAACAAGAAATTTCCAGCAAACTACAATTTTAATTTTATTTGCAGAACAAAATGTCTAAAAACTCAGCTGTCAGATTTTTTTGATGCTGCATTCTGATGCTTCTTCTTCGTGTGGGTGGAATACCTGCGCTGTGCGGAACTGTGACCAACAGTTATCAAAGCAGCAAATACTTTCATCAGTGTTGGCACTGTAAAAAAGGCATTGCTTACATTGATGGTGTGTCAGGGGGTTGGAGGTTCGTCCAAGCTGCAATTAGCTTTTTTTTTTTTGCATTTCTGTCTCACAAAATGTAAAACTGACCTGCAGACAAAAAAAGAACCGAGAAAGTGTCCAAATCTAGACGAAGAACAGCTTGTATTGAACAGAGTCAGCGGGTTGTCATTTTATGAATAAGTCAGCAAATCCTGCTTCATGAGAAAAGCCTACCAGTTAAACAGCATTTACTAAACTACTGGAAGCTGACGCTAACCTTTTTTGAAATGGTGCTTTCTCTGGCAATAGGGACTTGTGCTAAAGCAATCAAAACGCAGTATAAGTTTGTCTAATCTGGTTCTGGTTCCACTGGCCATGCTGGTCAAATATAATGCTGCTAGGTTATTATCCCAATTATGTTCCAGCTTTGGTATCAGTTATTGACCTGGTTATTGAAACGTGAATTCACAGGGCTGGCTGCAGTGAACTTGTGACCTGGTGGAATACTAAAAAAGTCAGTTGATATTACATTAACTGTCCTCTGCTGACAATGCAAACTGGTGAATGTACAGTTACACTTCCAATTTTAGTACAAATTTAAAGATGCATGCAACTGCTTTTTAGATTTTCCATTATTCCACACAGAGTACAGGTCGCCTATCCAGAGTCTTTTCTGGATCAGTTCAGAAATGGTTGCAACTGCCTCTTCTATAAAACACTACTTGTTGTAAGGAAAAGTATGTATTGTGAAAGCTGAAATAGGCGTGTAATGAACAGAAAAATTGGTGACTTTGAAATCACTCAATTTCTGCAATTTCTCACGGCTGAAAAGAAAAATGTAATGTT